GCCTTCTTCTCCTCCTTCTTGTCCTCCTCCTTCTTTTCTTCCTTCTTGTCTTCAGTCGCCTCAGCAGCAGGGGCCTCGGTGGCGGCGCCAGAGGCTTATATCGAATGTCAGCTAACCTAAAGCACGACGGTCGAACACGTCTTGGGTTGACTTACCCTCAGCGTTGGTCTCAGCAGCAGCAGCAGGCTCAGCAGCAGCAGCAGCCTCCTCAGTCTTGGCCTCCGCGGCGGGCTCCTCCTTGGGGGCCTCCTCCTTCGCCTCCTTCTTCTCCTCAGCATCCTTCTTTCCAAGGATGGTACCGAAGATGCTGGCACGCTTGCGAGACTGAGAGCGGCTCTTGGCGTTGGCCTTGTCCTCGGCAGCCGGGGCGGACTCGTCCTTAGCAGGCTCCTTGGCCTTCTCAGCCTTCTTCTCGGCAGGCTTGCTGAACTTCTCGAGCTCAGCCTTGTAGGCCTCGCTGGCGGTCACGGTTTCCTTCTCAGCGTTGGCCTCCGCGGTCTTGGCCTCGATAGCGGCCAGCCAGCTGTCGCGCTCGGTGGTGTTGCTGGCCTGGAAGGCGTGCTTCTGGCCGTTAACCTTGAAAGAGAACTCGTTGGAGCCCTCCTTGGTCACATCGGTGACCTCAGACTACTGGTTGTCAGCCTTCGTTTTTCGAATCGGTTGATCACCATCTGAAACTCACCAGATTGAAGATGCCAGCGGGAGTAGCCTTGTCCTCAGCACGCTTGGCGAAGAAAAGCAGGCCCTTGCCGGTCTGGGTGGCCCAGGCGGCAGTGGAGGGAGCGGCAGCGGCGGCGGACAGGTTCTTGGCCTCGACGGCCTCGTCGCTGAAGTAGAAATAGCGCTTGGAGAAGCGCAGGCTCTTCACGAGACCAGGCGCCTTGTAACCGAGCACTCCATCAGTAGCCGGAGTGACCTCCTTGTTCTCCTTGGCGGCCTCCTCCTTGGCCGGCTCCGCAGCGGCTTCCGTGGTTTCGGCAGGGGCAGCCGCAGACTCGGCCGCGGGCTCGCTGGTCTCCGCGGGAGTCTCCTTGGGAGCTTCGGCGGCAGGAGCGTCCGCAGCAGCAGGCTCGGCCGCAGGAGTCTCAGCAGGAGCAGCCGCGGGGGTCTCCTCAACAGGCTTCTGGGCGTCAGACATCTTGTTGGATGGTATTAGGAATAGGTATTAAGTAGTAAAGGTGTAGTCGATTAGGCGATTGACTAAAAAAAACACAGGGAGCACTCGCAGGCAGCGAGGACTGGGTATCACGATAGCAGGGTATCAGGAGGGGGGGGGGGGTATCTCAACAAGAAGCGAAAAAGACAAAGAGACGCGCGAGCACGGGGCCAGGGCGACTCGGGGTATCACAACAAAAGAGAAGCCTGGGACGGCCGGCACAGCTGCAGCGAAGGGTAGAGCAGGATTGGGAGTGAGAGCGAGAACAGGAAGAGGAAGAGGAGAAGAAAAAAGAGGCAGACAGGAGGGAGCGGGCGAAGAAAAAGAACGGGGGCTGGGCGGGGCGTGCAGTGGTGAGGGCAGGGAGGGAAGGAGAAGAGCCACCCAGGGGGCCGCGGTGGGCGCTAGCCGGCCCTAGACGGGGGCCTGGGTCGGCGATCCGGTGGCCAGCAGCTCGCCGGCGCAGCGCAGGTCAGGGATCAGGAGACGCGGGCCTGTCTGGGCGCTGCGGTGGGCCAGCGCCAGGGCCACCAGCCTGTAATTACTGTACCGAGTAGAACGAGTACAGTCTCGTCGCTAACGTAGGAACCGTCTTGATTGCGCAGCGACCGCTTCGTTCGACACGCTGTTTCCACCGTGTTGCGCGTCGCGGCTCTGGTCTCGTGTTGCTGGTGTCACTGAAAAGCCTGAAATGAAAACCCAGCATGGCATGGTATCTAGGTAGTCCCCAGCTTGCTGAGGTATCATTTCTACGCGAAGCTTGTTCCATGGTTCAGCGTCGGGTTATTCCCGCTAGCTAAGAATAGCGCCTTGTGAGGAATCATGGCATCAGGAGGGAGGAGCCACAGCATCACCACGCGTCTTTCAAGTTTCATCAAGCTGGCAGGGTGATGACAGTACGGAGTACTATGGCCACTGCCATCGCCATCATCGTATGTTCTGCCTCTTGCCATCCAGACCTGGTATTATCACTCTGTACTCCGTAGATCTCGTTCCCAATCCGATGGATGCGTGGTTATCGTCGATGGGCGCAATGGTCACCTGCTCCGGGTTCCAAGGTTTGATAAGGAGCCTGTTCCAAGCGACGACGGATTCTGCATGTCATCGACGTCACGGGACGAGTGCCTGCGCCAGTCGACACTCTGCTTTTATATCGCCTGCTCGCACGCTGCTCAGTGGATGGCTACAAACAAGCACCTTATCGCAGACGACCCGATTCCATCGGGTTCGCTGTGCGAGAGGCTGTCGCCATCCTGACTCGATCTCGCGCTGGCGACGAATCTGCGGCCGCTGTGCAGCACGCGTCCATGTCGCCCGGGGCGCATGACCGTTTCAAGCTGCCCTATCCAACCAGCTCGCCCGTCCCCGTGCCGACTCCGGCCCCAGCGAGCAGAGATACTACTACTAATTACTAGCCCAGATGAATCCTCCGTCCTGGCAGGCCGTGCTTGCCATGCAGCATCCATGGATCTCGTTCGTCGAATCCTGATTTGGAGTATTCTCGAGAGCACGCGACCTCAGATTGCAATTTGCATCGTTTGTCTGTTTTTTCTCCTTCCACCGTTCTCCCGCCATTTTTCCCGTTCGTAAGTAACGTCGTGTACCGTACAGTACATACAGACTGCCGAGCAGGACTGGTAATACCGCCCAGAGGGTTTATTGGGTATGACTCCGGCGCACTGGGCACTCTGCGCCCCGGCACGCCATCGCCCATTTCGCGACCACGGCCGGCACTTGCAACTGAATCTGGGGGCTTTTTTTTTACGCGCCGTGACGGTGAATTCCGTGATCTGATTTTATCGAGTGCAACAGTTGCTCTCCGAGGTCGGGTCTGGTGCGGATCGCCATCGGGATTCGCTGGGGCGTCGTCGCGAGCTCCCCACACGTCTAGCACGGAACTATTGACTCGGCCCAGGACGCCCGCTGACTGGGCAGCCCTACGGCTCCCTGAATGGGTCTTCGCGTCGGTGGTCCAAGGTTAGGCCTGCTGTTTACTATGGAGCATCCCGTCAGCAGGCTGTGCCATCAACAACCCTCTTTTTTTGCACCGGGACAGCGAAGCGCCCATCGTTTGTCTTTTTTTTTTCACGAAGACGCTGAATGAATGGCAGCTCCGGGAGCTTCCCCGACCAGCCCCCGCCGTTGCACCATGTGCGCGCGTGTGTGTCATCGCCCATCGCACGCCCCTTTCTTACTGGTGGCTGCCAGCTCTCGCCCAGCGCGCCGATCCACTGATCGCATCCCCCTTTCGCCTGTTTGGGCAAGCCCCCCGGCACTGCTTGGCGGCCACCTGAGCCGTGCGGACCAATAAGGCGCTGCTAGCGGCCAGCAGAGCTGTGCTGCACGGCCAATCAGCCAGCTGCAGAGCTGATGCAACGGACGATCCTCGGACCCACTGCAAGCGAGCAATCATTTATGTTAATTAGTACTAGCCCGTTTGAAGTTTCCGACTCGACAAGGGATCCCTGAAAAGGACAATCCCAGACGTCCCTCTGTGCGACTGCAGTCTGGACCAGACGACTCGACAGGAGGGAGTGGTAGAAGAGCCGTAACCCTGTGGGCTTTTAATAATAATACTAGCCATTAGCTCGCTGTGTCTCACTCATAATCTGATTATTATTCTGAAATTATTATTCTTGTCAGACGAACTAACACTATTACACAAGGTTACAATGGCCAACCCAAACCACCAGCAAAAGTAAAACAGAAAGAAGATCTGATGATCCGTGAGCAGCACTACTACTAGCAGTAGCAGATCTCCGCCCGGCATCTATTAACTAGAAACTCTAGAAACTTTTTTTTTCTTTTTACTTTCCCTGCCCTGTCCTTCCCTGCCCTGGTAACCGTGACCCTGAGTCTGACTATTACTCCGTAACTGACTAACGAAAAATTGCGGTGAGAACGGGCCTTGTAAATAATAATAATCGGCAGCCATCATCATTAAACAACAAGCCCTGGAGAGCTGAAAGGCTGAAAGCTTGCAACAATTATTAAAAGAAAATTATGATTGACCTCCCTCCCCGAATATTAAAAATAATAATCGGAGCCAAACAAAACAAAAAGTCGACACTCGACAGTAGAGTGAGAGTACACTGCCTACCAAATGAATTCAATTAATTACGGAGTTCTTTTAAGAATTAATTAATGGAATATCATGTGGCTGGCCGTCACCCGGTCAGCTTGGCCTGTCATATACGGAGTAGTATTCTCCGTAGATTTTGACTTTGGCAACCTGTGGGGAGCCCATTAGTAATCAGGGGAAAACCGGGCGCCCAGACGACTACGGAGTATTCGCATGGTTTTCTTTTGTTAAAGTTGTCGAGCACAGACTCCAAAAAAAAACAACAAAGCAATTGACAAAGAGACAGTACAGAGTACAGAGTATACTATCGAATGAGAGACAAAAACTGTAAATGTACTGTGTACATACATTGTAAATTGCTGAAAATGCACAGAAAGCCGCCAAACAGACACGTAAAAAAAAACACTAGTGCCGCCCTAGATCATCTCCTATCGTCGTCACTCGTCGTATCCAATCATCTACATGTCCTTCATTATTCACAAGGTTTAAAGTTGAACAAGATCAAGCTCCAGCAGTCATATACTCCGTATACTCCGTATACTCTGTAGATCAGACAATATACAAACGGCGGATCCGCTTCGCTAACCGGCCACCGTAAGAACGTGCCTGTCACCGGGTTGTTAGCTGGAGTCAACACTGCTAGAGCTATACAAGCGGGACAATGTATAGCAGGATTACTCACGATGTGATGCTATCCATCCGCTCCGCCGTCAGCTTGAGCGTAACCATCAGCAGCTCTTGCGCAATCTCCGGCTCTCGCGCCTTCAGTTCTTCCCACTTCTCCGTTCCCAGACACCACGCCACGCAGTCCTGCTCGACCTTCACCGTCGCCGTGCGAGGTGTCCCTCCGAAAAACGGCAGCTCCCCGCAGGGCCGTCCGGCTACGATGAGCTCCGAATACCGTCCTTGCGGCATCTCGTATTCTGCCCGGAGCATGCCCGACTCGAGCAGGTAGAACTTCGTCGGCTGATCCCCCTCATGGTACAGGATGCAGCCCGCCGGATAGGTCTCCCGGGTGAAATAAGAGCATGCGGGGAACCAAAAGTCCTCGTTCTTCGACGTCATATCCCGAAACATTTGCAACAGGAGCGGGAGCGGTTGTCGATAGGTCATCCATTTCGGAGGAATCCTGACAGCAGTCTCATCCTCCTGCAGCGTGTTCAGGGCAAGTTGCTGAAGGTAATGTCGTCGAGGGGAGTTTCCGAATGTGTCCGTGGCCAGTGTTGGGCCTTGGCCTTGTCCTGTGGGAACATCCACAAACTGCGCACGTTCGTTGATCCTCTTGGATAGAGCCTCCTTGCCATTGTAGAAGATCTTCAGGTACTCGTTCTCACAGAACTCGAGGGCCGAATTGAGGTCCTCGAAAATCTGCACCGGATTCGCATCTTCAAAAAGCCCCACGTTTTGCAAGCTCCTCCCGACATCTCCCTCAACGTCGAGTCCGGATATTATTGCCTGAACGTTTCGCTTGGCGAGGATCCTGTTGATGCGTGTCAACGCTTCAGCGGCCGAAAAGTCTAAACCGTTCACTCGGGAAAAGTCCAGGACCAAGAAGCGAATGGGACGCCTTGAGAATGCTTCGTCCTCGATGAGACCGCGCACTGTGTTCTCAACCTTGACGATCGTTCCAAAGAACAGGAATCCGGACAGCTTGATAATCAGCGTCTGCCGTCCTGCATCTCTCAGGAATCGTTGTTGAACCGGGGGCCGTCTGACTGTCGAGCCTGCAAACTCGCCAGAATAGACCGCCCTGATGGCAGACTTGCGAGAAGTCTGGACAACAAAGTTGACGCAGGCAAGGACGATCCCCACAAAAATGCCAATCACGAAATCCCAGGCTCCCATAGTCACCACTATGATCACAACCTAGATAACAGTCAGAACACGTCAAAACTCTCAGGGGACAGGATGGCGTATACCGTCAGATACTCCAGCTTATTCAGCTTGCCCCATGTATCGACCAAGGCCTCTTCCATCAATTCGATGCCCAGCATGAAGATAAGGGCCCCAACCACCATGATTGGTATAAATCCTATGATGACTGGCCCCACCACCAGGATCCCTGCAGTCGCGACAGCTAGCATGATGCCTGCTAGTCTCGAATTGCCCCCACTATCAATGAATAGCAAGCTATTCGTGTACACGAGATAGTTCTGGTGTCTTGTCAGCATGCTATTTCATATTCCATCTCAGTTATCTAGGCTCCTTACTTGTATACTACCCGCCAAACCCGACAGGACATTGGTGATCCCATGAGCGATGAGCTCCCGGTCGACATTAAGGTTGTCTTCACCAGTGGAAATCCCCAGGGCTGGAACGTTGATCGGGACGTGGAGAACACCGAAAAAGGTGAGGGCAAACATGGCCGGAACGGTGTCGGCAAGTGCGGGCCAGTTGACGGCAGAAAAATCTGCCTCAGTGAGAAACAATGGTCTTCGGGAAAATCAAACCAAATTGACTTACCATACAGTGTATAAAAGTGGTACCATGGGTTCGAGGATGAAGGAGCAGCAAAAACCCAGCCGCTGTCACGTAGGGTATCCAATGGAATCCGACAAATCAACTTGACTATATAGAACACCGCCGCCACAAGCATGAAGTAACCACCCACGAGGAAGTTCGATTTAACAAATCGCTTCAAAATAAGGAGACCAACCGCAAGAAACAAGGGTATCGTCCAGAGGAACACGGTGTCAAGTTGGAAGAGCTTGCGGAGGGCCGCAAGGTTATATTCAAGATTGCCTGGAAGTCGTGCAGAGACTTCGACTCCTGTGGCTATGAGAAACCAGCCAACACCGCCAATACAACCAATCAAAATATGTCGGGGGAAAAATCCAATAAGGGACCCCAACTTGCAGGCACCCATGAGAAAGAAGACCGTTCCAGTCAGAACGGAGCTCACGGCGAAAGAGAGTATGGTCGTCGCAAGTACCGATCGTGGGTTGTCCTCACCGACCCGGTTGAGGATCATGAATGCCATTTTATGAAAAAAGGGAACGACTTCGATCATCTCGCTACCTATCCCGCCCTTGAAGATCGATGCTCCGAATGAGA